ATTTATAGGACATTCCATCCAAAAACAACAGAATACACATTTTTCTCTAGTGCTCATGGAACATTCTCCAGGATAGATCATATCTTGGGTCACAAATCAAGCCTTGGTAAATTTAAGAAAATCGAAATTGTATCAACTATCTTTTCCGACCACAACGCTATGAGACTCGATATCAATTACAGGAGAAGATCTGTAAAAAATACAAACACATGGAGGCTAAACAATACACTACTTAATAACGAAGTGATCACTGAAGAAATCAAATAGGAAATAAAAAATACCTAGAAACAAATGACAATGGAGACACGACGACTCAAAATCTATGGGATGCAGCAAAAGCAGTTCTAAGAGGGAAGTTTATAGCAATACAATCTTACCTTAAGAAACAGGAAACATCTCGAATAAACAACCTAACCTTGCACCTAAAGCAATTAGAGAAAGAAGAACAAAAAAACCCCAAAGTTAGCAGGAGGAAAGAAATCATAAAAATCAGATCAGAAATAAATGAAAAAGAAATGAAGGAAACGATAGCAGAGATCAATAAAACTAAAAGGTAGTTCTTTGAAAGGATAAACAAAATTGATAAACCATTAGCCAGACTCATCAAGAAAAAAAGGGAGAAGACTCAAATCAATAGAATTAGAAATGAAAAAGGAGAAGTAACAACTGACACTGCAGAAATACAAAAGATCATGAGAGATTACTACAAGCAACTCTATGCCAATAAAATGGACAACCTGGAAGAAATGGACAAATTCTTAGAAAGGCACAACCTGCCAAGACTGAATCAGGAAGAAATAGAAAATAAGAACAGACCAATCACAAGCAGTGAAATTGAAACTGTGATTAAAAATCTTCCAACAAGCAAAAGCCCAGGACCAGATGGCTTCACAGGCGAATTCTATCAAACATTTAGAGAAGAGCTATCACCTATCCTTCTCAGACTCTTCCAAAATATAGCAGAGGGAGGAACACTCCCAAACTCCTTCTACGAGGCCACCATCACCCTGATACCAAAACCAGACAAGGATGTCACAAAGAAAGAAAACTACAGGCCAATATCACTGATGAACATAGATGCAAAGATCCTCAACAAAATACTAGCAAACAGAATCCAACAGCACATTAAACGGATCATACACCATGATCAAGTGGGGTTTATTCCAGGAATGCAAGGATTCTTCAATATTCGCAAATCAATCAACGTGATACACCATATTAACAAATTGAAGGAGAAAAACCATATGATCATCTCAATAGATGCAGAGAAAGCTTTTGACAAAATTCAACACCCATTTATGATAAAAACCCTGCAGAAAGTAGGCATAGAGGGAACTTTCCTCAACATAATAAAGGCCATATATGACAAACCCACAGCCAACATCGTCCTCAATGGTGAAAAACTGAAAGCATTTCCACTAAGATCAGGAACAAGACAAGGTTGCCCACTCTCACCACTCTTATTCAACATAGTTTTGGAAGTTTTAGCCACAGCATTCAGAGAAGAAAAGGAAATAAAAGGAATCCAAATCGGAAAAGAAGAAGTAAAGCTGTCACTGTTTGCAGATGACATGATACTATACATAGAGAATCCTAAAGATGCTACCAGAAAACTACTAGAGCTAATCAATGAATTTGGTAAAGTAGCAGGATACAAAATTAATGCACAGAAATCTCTGGCATTCCTATACACTAAGGATGAGAAATCTGAAAGTGAAATCAAGAAAACACTCCCATTTACCATTGCAACAAAAAGAATAAAATACCTAGGAATAAACCTACCTAAGGAGACAAAAGACCTGTATGCAGAAAATTATAAGACACTGATGAAAGAAATTAAAGATGATACAAATAGATGGAGAGATATACCATGTTCTTGGATTGGAAGAATCAACATTGTGAAAATGACTCTACTACCCAAAGCAATCTACAGATTCAATGCAATCCCTATGAAACTACCACTGGCATTTTTCACAGAACTAGAACAAAAAATTTCACAATTTGTATGGAAACACAAAAGACCCCGAATAGCCAAAGCAATCTTGAGAACGAAAAATGGAGCTGGAGGAATCAGGCTTCCTGACTTCAGACTATACTACAAAGCTACAGTAATCAAGACAGTACGGTACTGGCACAAAAACAGAAATATAGATCAATGGAACAGGATAGAAAGCCCAGAGATAAACCCACACACATATGGTCACCTTATCTTTGACAAAGGAGGCAGAAATGTACAGTGGAGAAAGGACAGCCTATTCAATAAGTGGTGCTGGGAAAACTGGACAGCTACATGTAAAAGTATGAGATTAGATCACTCCCTAACACCATACACAAAAATAAGCTCAAAATGGATTAAAGACCTAAATGTAAGGCCAGAAACTATCAAACTCTTAGAGGAAAACATAGGCAGAACACTCTATGACATAAATCACAGCAAGGTCCTTTTTGACCCACCTCCTAGAGAAATGGAAATAAAAACAAAAGTAAACAAATGGGACCTAATGAAACTTAAAAGCTTTTGCGCAGCAAAGGAAACCATAAAGAAGACCAAAAGACAACCCTCAGAATGGGAGAAAATATTTGCAAATGAAGCAACTGACAAAGGATTGATCTCCAAAATTTATAAGCAGCTCATGCAGCTTAATAACAAAAAAACGAACAACCCAATCCAAAAATGGGCAAAAGACCTAAATAGACATTTCTCCAAAGAAGATATACAGAGTGCCAACAAACACATGAAAGGATGCTCAACATCACTAATCATTAGAGAAATGCAAATCAAAACTACAATGAGATATCATCTCACACCAGTCAGAATGGCCATCATCAAAAAATCTAGAAATAATAAATGCTGGAGAGGATGTGGAGAAAAGGGAACCCTGTTACACTGTTGGTGGGAATGTAAATTGATACAGCCACTGTGGAGAACAGTATGGAGGTTCCTTAAAAAGCTACAAATAGAACTACCATATGACCCAGCAATCCCAGTACTGGGCATATACCCTGAGAAAACCATAATTCAAAAAGAGTCATGTACCAAAATGTTCATTGCAGCTCTATTTACAATAGCCCAGAGATGGAAACAACCTAAGTGTCCATCATCGGATGAATGGATAAAGAAGTCGTGGCACATATATACAATGGAATGTTACTCAGCCATAAAAAGAGACGAAATTGAGCTATTTGTAATGAGGTGGATAGACCTAGAGTCTGTCATACAGAGTGAAGTAAGTCAGAAAGAGAGAGACAAATACCGTATGCTAACACATATATATGGAATTTAAGAAAAAAAAATGTCATGAAAAACCTAGGGGTGAAACAGGAATAAAGACACAGACTTACTAGAGAATGGACTTGAGGCTATGGGGAGGGGGAAGGGTAAACGGTGACAAAGCGATAAAGAGGCATGGACATATATACACTACCAAACGTAAGGTAGATAGCTAGTGGGAAGCAGCAGCATAGCACAGGTAGATCAGCTCGGTGCTTTGTGACCGCCTGGAGGGGTGGGATAGGGAGGGTGGGAGGGAGGGAGACGCAAGCGGGAAGAGATATGGGAACATATGTATATATATAACTGATTCATTTTGTTGTGAAGCTGAAACTAACATACCATTGTAAAGCAATTATACTCCAATAAAGATGTTTAAACAAAAAAAAAAAAAAAAAGAAAGAAACCACAGGGGTGTATGCTGAGTGTGCCCATGGAAACAGGGGCCTGCTGGAACTAGCCTTGCTTTCCCATTTTGAAGGCTGCATTCATGCTGCCTTGAAGCTACCTGACATTCCCTGCTCTTGACAGGCCTGTCAACCGTGTAAGAATGCTTCGGGGAAAATTATGAGTCTGTTCTGTCTAAACCAGGTGCTTCCGCGGCCGCGGTTGTGGTCCGCCTGACAACCTATAGAGCTAAAGGGAATCTCAACGTGAAAACTTGCCTTCAGGTTAGGCCCCTAGTAGCCGTGCAGAAAGGGAAGCGGGCAGCTGTTTCCATGAGTTCTTAGTCGCTTATATGCTTGATGTGAAAGGAAGTGCACTTTAAAAAAAAAGAAAGAAAAATATGCATTGAGTCATAAGTCAAAAATACTTAAGAATAATTGCCCTTGACTTACAGTATTTGCTTAACATTATTCCTTAGAGCAAACTTAAAACTGTTTTACTTTTACAATAATATCATAATGGTATAAAATATATACCTGATTTGTCTTTAAAATCCATAGAAAAACCTTCAAAGTCTTGCAGATTAAACTCTACTCTGGCACGTGTTATACCTTTGCTTTTTACTAAAAATGGAATAATCTGGGTAACGCCAACATAGGTGCCACTGAAGTTAAATACATCCTAAAACATAAAAAAAGAAATCATAATTAGAAGGTAGAGTAACAATTTATGAAAATAATGTAAACGAAAAATTACATTGCAAAACAGTAGATCTTAAAAGTCCTCATTATGAGAAAAAAATTGTTAAGTATGTTTGGTGACCAATGATAATTAGACTTACCATGGTGACTATTTCACAATATATACAAATATTGAATCATTATATTGTACACCTGAAACTAACATGTTATATGTCAATTATACCTCAATAAAAAAATACACTCATGTTTATCAAGGACATTATTACAGCAGTATTCTATACAAATTAGTTAAATTTTCCTTCTTCCCTCTCCCTCTTACATGTAATCAGTTACCAAATCCCATTAATTCTGACTTCTTCACCTCTTAACTTTATTGTAATTGTATAAAGTTAGTAACTCATCACTTTTTTTTTTCCTGTACGCAGGCCTCTCACTGTTGTGGCCTCTCCCGTTGTGGAGCACAGGCTCCGGACACGCAGGCTCAGCGGCCATGGCTCACGGGCCCAGCCGCTCTGCGGCATGTGGGATCTTCCCGGACCGGGGTACAAACCCGCGTCCCCTGCACCGGCAGGTGGCCTCTCAACCACTGCACCACCAGGGAAGCCCAGTAACTCATCACTTTTCATTTCATTGCTAGATTTGACTTTCTCCAATTCTCCCCTCCACATCTATGTCACAATTAAACTAATTAAAAATCTGACCACATCATTTCCTGTCTTAAAATTTGATGATTCTCCTCTACAGGAGATCTACAGGACAATGTCAAGTTTGTTAGCAGGGCTCATAAAGTTCACCATGACCTTCCCCTGCCTCATGTTCCAGCCTTACCTAGCTCCACTCTCACCCCTATGACTTCATATTTCAGCAAGCTGTATGACTTGTCATTTCCAACCAGTACCTGGCGCTTCTCCCTTCTGTGTCTTTATCAAGGTGTCTCTGCTGTCAGAAGGCCCTTCTCTAACTTGTAATTGCCTGATAAAATACTATGCATCCTTCAAATACCAGTTGGATAAGCCACAATTAATTACAATATGATCGGGACTACTTCTGTTGCTTATGTTTATTCACATTATGACATCATAATGTCCGTTTATTTGTCTTTTTATGTCTCTTCTAGTGGACCTTAAGTCTCATTCATTTTTACATCTCTAGCACCTATCTGACATCTAGCTTAAATACATAAGGAATGTTTACTGAATGTATCTTAACTTTAGCTTATATGCCAGGCATGTGTACCCCACAAAACTCTGCAGGATTCCTCTTCTGGTAGAGTAACTATATATACTCTACAGTTCCTTAGTAAAAGAATCACATACACCATTAAAAGAGAAAGAGGCAACAGTATCCTAATGCTGAGAAAAACATGACATTAAGGTCAACTGTCCACTATTTGCTTCACTTAAAATATCAACCCAGTTCTACAGGTGAAATTTGTGAAATCCAAAACAGGTAGTGAAAGTTTGATGCTTCGTATGCAAAAAATCACTCCTCTTATCCCATTTCTGGTCTTTCCCATAGGTTAATTTGGATAAAATTTCCTAATTGTTATTAAGACACACAGTCAATGCCACACAGTTATTAGATATATTGCTAACAATATCTGGTAATACTAGAATATTGTTTTTAAAAGGTAACTGGGCATCAATGTTTAAAAATCCAACATAATTAAGAAATATTGATAAATATATATTGAAGTCCTATAAATTACTCAGTTATGCCATAACATGCAAAGCCTGCCACAAATATCTTTAGGACTAGGAAATGCAGTATTTAAAGTCTCCATCTTTGTCTAACATTGTTCAAGGAGGGACACCATATCAACTGAAAAAAAGCACTCTGGATACTACAGGAATCACCACTGTCTTGGACAAGCTAGCTTAGTATCCATCAGTCTATCTGGACTTACCATGCCTTCAACACTGAATAAAAGAAAGGTTAGAAAATTGTAACTTAAAGCCTAGAATTGTGGTGATGCCGTTAAAGTGCAGACTAGTGGTAAGGCCCTACCTGAGGCAACCAGCAGCCTCATCAATTTCTACTCAATTTAGTTCAGCACCAGAATGGTACTAGGTACTGGGGATAGAAAAACAAAAGGGCAGATAACCTGAAAATAATATGACAATTGCTACAATGGAGATGTTCCCAGAGTTTAAGATGTTTGTGACATCTAGTAAATGTCACAAGAGAGGGGAATATGGGCTTGCTTTGAAGGATCAGGGAAAGTTTCTTTAGGTAGGTAAGACCAGATCTAACTCTGAAAGCTTGGACAGAAAAAAAAAGAAAAAAATAGCATGTATGTGCACTCTATCAACTGTAGAACAAAATTTCAGTAGGGTACAGAACAATAATTCAAAAAATAAATTTGATTATAGTTCAGAAAATGTAAATCAATACCATAGTGGGGTATTTTACACTCAAAAGATTGGCAAACATTGTGTCTTATAATACAACTTATGGAGCAACAGAATGTGGATCAATGGAAACATGAGAAGAAAATATGGAAATTATCTTGTGAAGTCAAATATGTACATTATCTGCATCTCAGCAACTCCATTCCTAAAGAAACTATTTCATAAGTACCTTAGAAGATATGTACATAAATGTTCATAGCTATAGTATTTGTAATACCAAAAAAACAGACACTAATTGGATGGACAATGGAATGAGTCTACAAATTACAGTATGTCTACATAATGGACTATTAAGCAGCAGGGAAAATGAATAACATACAGCTACACATAACCTAGATGAAGTTTAAAAACATGATATTCAATTAAAAGTAACCCACCAAAGATAATATATCTTTGTTATAAAGCTCAGAAATGAACAAACTAAATAATGAACCATAAGGAATTCATACATATGTGGTAACCTAATTAGAAAAAGTAAAGGGAGAACAATGACAAAATTCAGGAAAGTAGTTATCTCTTAAGAGGGGTAGGATCATGATGAAGCCTTCAGATAATTTAACGGTACTGGTACTGTTCTGCTACTTAAGTTCAGTGGTGAATTCTTAAACTTTCATTAATTGGCTTAATACTCTGCTTCATCACTTATATTTATATTACATATATTAATTTCTATGTGACAAATTACTACATAATAAAAAATTTTTAACCTAAATGGGCTGACTAGGGACACATAAATAAAAATCACCACACTCATAAATTGATTATACAAATAGGTAACATACTCACAGGATTGATTTCAACATCAGCAATCTCAATAGATCCACCAGTCCTAAGGTCTATGTCTTTTGCACGGTGAATAGCAATCTATTTAGGAAAAACATAAAACTCTGTAGAAACCACACTAAAATAGACTCATATACTGCTGAAGTATTACCTGGCATTTATATAACATTTTATAATTTAAATAATCATAACTTATTATAAATGTCACAAGATTTATTCTGGGAGTTATCATCCCATTTCTTGTGATGTAGAATTGATATTCCTAAAGGAGTGAATTTTCAACTCTTAAAAACTTCCATCACAAATGGGACCTCGTGAATTTGACTGAAGAGTTCTACCCATTTGCCTTGACATTATTGCTTCAAACTCTGTGTGAGCCTTTTGTATTTACCTAATTCCAAAGGAATATTCAAAATTAAAACAAGCAAGAAACTGAGTGCAAACACAGAAAGATACTAATATCCAAAACAACCATAGTTCTAATGAGAGCAGCTAAAAATTGCTGAGTATATGGCCCAAGTATACTGCTAAATACATTATCTCCTTTTTAATCTTCAGTATTCTGTTAATACCCTAATTTCCAAGTGAGGAAAACTGGGGCTTAAGGTCACAAAACTTGAAAGCAGCAGTGGCTAAACTTGAACCAAGAACTGCCTGAGCACTCAATTTCTTCCAAGAAATTTAAGACAGTGAAATAAGAATTTAGTCATGTAACTCCTACAAAATAAGAACTATAGATTACATGAACATATAATTGTCTAATCAAAATCTCAGAAGCACAAAAATATCATTCCCTGAAAGCCCTACCTGTACAAGAACAGGTTAGCAGTCAACTTCGAGATTTAAATCTAAATGTATATTAAAAAAAGAGAGATGAGTGTATTTCACTCTTTTGATAGAATCAGTGGCATTGTTTATAGGTAAAGAAACCACAAAATACCATTTTTTCAGAATTATTAAGGAAAGTGAGTGCCATCTAGACAATCTTATTAACCGAATTGCTTAATTCATACTACTATATGATTTCTATATTTTATTTACAGAATACATAGTACCTAAAATACTTGACTAAAATCATAAGAAGCATAACTTAATGCTTCAGAGGTAATTACAAATCAACATATTGCTTCACTGATGAACGCCATATGTAAGTCTCAACACCCCCATGGCTGCCTTTTACTCACTTCTCCTTTCGTGGGTAACTGAAGATTCCAGGCTGCCATAACCCATTTACTACCCTCACCAATTGCTCACTTGACCTTTTCATCTCCTGAGACTTAATCTGTACCCTGGACAATATCACCCGTCACAAATCCATGGCCTCAGAAACCATACATTCATCTGTCCCTCTCTTTCTCACAACCCTCTCTCATCCCTGCTTTCTCACCCATTTTCAGAGAATAGAGTTCCACGATGTCACATGTGTGATGTTTCCCTGATCAGCCCCAATTAACCTGTCTCCATTTTCTCCATTATTCAACAAAGTTTATCATTCCAACTTCTCATCAATATATTCGATCCACTTATACTCATCTTGATTTTCACAGGGGTAACAGAAATAACCTCTATCATCTCTAAGATTAATCCTTAGCCTTCAGACCAACATGTATAAGCAATGGCCTCTTTACTAGACATCTCTACATAGGGATGCAAAAGTGCCTCAAACTCATGATTTCCCTCTAAAATATGCTACTCATCCTCTAATCTTTCTTCAAATGTTGTTACCACCTGTCTCACACTTGACTTACCTGTTTTATTTATATGTGACCCCTTTCAATCATCAAACCCTAAATATTCATCTCCTAAATTTGACTAGAATTTGTCTAGAATCCTACCTCCTGAGAACACAATCTTCTCCTGCCTGGACATCATCAGCAGACTAATAACTCTGCACTGGTCGCAGTTTAACACTGCTCTATAACCAAAGTGATGTCTGAAAAATGCAAATCTGAGTGTGAAACTCTCCATGCTTAAAAACTCCAAGCTCTTAAGATGAAATTTTGACTTCCTAAGTTGTTGCTAAGGACCTGTATGACTAAAATTTATACAGGCCTCTAAATACATCTTTCCCCACTATCATCCATTCAATCTATAACCAAGTCATGTTAAACTAAGTTTTTCATATCTGCCTTGTAGCTCTCCCTCTCCTCCCATATGCCTGAACACATTCAATTTTGTCTTCCTTGAATACTCTTTCCTCCTCTCCTCCCTCACCCCACTACTACCCCTTTCCTCTGGCTGATTCTTAACTCTGGTGTCTTTCAGATTTATCTTCCCCTAGGAAACTGTCCCTGACCATTTAAGCATGGGTTGCAAACCTCTCCCGTGTACGCCCCCAGCCTACTGTATTTCTCCATCATAGTACTTATTACACTATCTTTTAATTTTGAGTTGTTTGCATCCCCCATCATATTGTACATTCTTAGAGACCAAGGACCCTAGTTATCTTGTTCAATTTTGCATTCCTAGCAACGCAACAGAGCCTAACACATAATATGTGCCCAGTAAGTACGCATGGAATGGATGAATAAAGGAATCTCATTATAATATACTGTTAAAAAGGTAAGCTTTGTAAAAACAGCATGGTTCTCTAAAATACAGTGGAAACTAATCTCAGTAAAACCTATATTTTAGTGGCTATGTTTTTTATTTTTTCCAAAATAATATACAAAAATTCTGCCTAAATATCAGACCGTATACCACAATATACACTTTATAAACATCTTTCAATATATACTTTTGTTTTTGTAATTTATTTGTTTTATTTAATTATTTTTGGCTGTGCTGGGTCTTCGTTGCTGTGCACGGGCCTTCTCTAGCTGTGGCGAGTGGGGGCTACTCTTCCTTGTGGTGCACGGGCTTCTCATCACGGTGGCCTCTCCTGTTGTGGGGCAGGGGCTCTAGGCTCTCGGGCTTCAGTAGTTGTGGCGCGTGGGATCTAGAGCGCAGGCTCCGTAGTTGTGGCGCACGGGCTTAGGTGCTCCGTGGCTTGTGGGATCTTCCCAGACCAGGGCTCGAACCCATGTCCCCTGCATTGACAGGTGGATTCGTAACCAATGCGCCACCAGGGAAGCCCCCTATACTTCTTTATAAAAGTAAGATATAATTATTAGGTTGTTTATTTGGGGGCCAGGCAAATTGGTGTTTATTATATTAAGCTAAATATTATTTAAGAACTAATGATTATGGGAAATTGAAGGATAAAATGGAGGCTATCTCTTAAGCCGTTCATTTTGATCTGATGATAGTGCACATATCACTTTTTTAATGTGAGTAAATGCACAGAGTTGATCATCAAATTGAAGATTAAGAGCATTCCATTCCATGAGTTTATAATAAGTAAAATTTACTACAGACTGGTCTTACATGTTTTATTTATTCTGTTTAATGAACACTTAGAGAAGTCCCTAAAATCAAGGTAATACCTTTTCATTTACATAATTCCCAGAACATAAAATAGTAAAACATTTTATGTGTGCTATAAAATACAGATATTAACGTCATATACAATTTTCCTATGATTCCTATAGTCATTAAAGCTATTTAAAATTAGCATTCCAAAACTGATTATTTTTTCCTTAGGTATCTAATTAACACCATGGAAAAAACAATCCTTTGCTCTGTGACTAGTGAGGGCTTGTCACAAGTTAGAGATGCCAAATATTCCAAGTTCATGTGAAAAATGCCTCATATCAATGAAATGTATCCATTTCAACTTAGTAGAAACTTCCATTAGCAACTTTCACCAAAAATATTTTCTACAAATCCTCTTGCCAAGTTCTGCTAACCATTTTTACAACCAATGTATAAGTAAGGTTGTTTATTTTTTAGATTTCTAAAAACTGCACCTCTGTAGAGCTAACTCAATTAGAAATTTAGAATAGAAAAATAACAGAAATTTTTTAAATTACTCTTTAGTGTCATAATATTAAAACCCATCCCCATTAGAAGAAATCATTAAAATAAGCTTTCTAAGAATAAACATGTATATAACCTTTTATAGAATTATACCTACTATTATAAATATCATAACCAAACAAATCCACAGACACATATATAAGGAGCAAACACACATATGCATAAACATACCTTTGCTCCTGTATCAAATTTTCCTGCTACAGTAGGAGTACAGGAGGTATTGAGAACAGTTAGCCCCCGCAATGGAATGATTCCTTGTGATGGAACAACATCAATCACAGACAAAAGACTCTGGTCACAAACCTATAATCAAAAATTTGCAGAAATGTCACTTATCCTTTGAAGTTATTGTTCCAAAGCTTTCATAGGAAAACTTCTAGACCAGTACATAGAGAGAGGACCTACAGGCACACAGCATGAGATGGTTTTGAAATAGATTTTCAAACACCAGAGAAACAATTTGAACTTCAACAAGGATTTGCACCCCTAACCCAGCAAACAGAACTTTTAGCAATGGCATCTTCCAATTCAAACAGGATGATGAAGGTTATTATCTGAAGTGTTTTCAAGCCTTTGCAAAACTTACAAGGAAAGGATGAGATGTATCTGTTGGAGAGATGCCAAAATTCTAGATACTATTTTGATAGCCTGTCTTTTCCCTGATCCTAAAAAACTGAAAGCAAAGTTAGTGGGGAGGCAAGATGATAAAGTAACCTACTCTTCTTTATTATTTCCTTTATAGCCTAATGTCTAAGATATCATTTTGACCTTCAAAAAAGTAACTTACCAAAAGAGTTAAGGTGTGGTTTGTCAGAGGCCAATTTAGGCTTATTTATCATGCCTTAAGTCAGAATAATTTGAAGGGAAATTGGTTAACATATTTTAGGGGATGAGGGAACAAACAGACTTCAGAACTAATTCTGAAGCAACAGAGTAGAAAAGGGTATCCTCCTTTGCTTGTCTGGGCAGAAGACATGTAAATACAAGCTTGAAAGAAAGATCTCAAATGCTAACCTCTACTGTCACTATTAGGAGATGTTAATGTTTCTCAGTTAAAAAAAAAAAAACATCTATTACCAATTTAAACACCACCCGCCCCACAATTTAAATCAGGAGTAACAACTATAAATAGAATATCTTTAGAATGGTCTTGATCTAGGTCCCAGTTGCTACCATAACAGTCTTGATGACAGAGTGAAAACAAGGAAAAAAAGGAAAAGCATGTAATTAAATACTGAATGTAACATAAACACTGCATATTTTTTTAAATGTTAGTTTTTTTGAAATCATCTTTTTTTCCCAATAAAACAAAATAACAGAAAGAAAGCAAAAGAGGGGTAAGAGGAGAAGGAAGGGAGAGATTAAGGAAGGAAGGGAGAGATAGTGACAAATTTTATGGGAAACTAAAAGGATAAAGTAGATGAAATGTATTCAGATAAATCTGATATGAAATACCTAAATATTAGCATTAGTCAATCTATAAAGACTAAAGTATTCATGGCATAGAACTCATGGCAATAAATAGTTCAAATTATAATGTGATCTGATCCAAGTAAGATTTCCAGATTCTACATTACCTTGAAATAAGCATGGTTTGGTCCTACATTGTGAAGAATGGCTTTTCTCCAAGTTGTTAAACCTTGAGGGCTATCACTGAAGAGTATCCTTGGCTCTAAAAGAACGACCTTGGTGTGACCAAGCTAATAAGAGGAAGAAAGGGAACATGAAATTGAAATAACAGTAAACATTTTTTTAATCCCCCACGAGATAACTCAAACTTTTTCAGCTTCATAGAAATTTCTAAAATACGAAGCGTTATCAGATTTTATGGTGTTCTTAAGAGAAAGGAAAAGAGTGGAATATTTACAATGTACTCCTAAACTGAGGAAGGCAGAGAGAGTAAGATAACTCTAAGGACGAAGTAAATCCATGACTGAGAATGATGTAGATTAGTCACTGAAGGGGATACTAGAGACCATCTGCCCCACTACATACAAGGTGTTACCATGTGCTACACAAAAGGAAAAAGTTCAAGGGTCATGTAAGTATGGGAAATAACATGCCAAGAGAGATTATCCAGGCATGTTTCTACTAGAAGTCTTCTCATAGGGCTTAATATGCTGATAATGTACACTTTGCTTATCTGAGAATGGGGAGGTAGTACACTGTGATTCACAGAATTACTTAGGCACAGGACTCCCTCGCCCTGTCCTACACAAACCACTTCATAGAACTACAGCAACATAAAACACTTTTTGGAAACGTTGATATTATCCACCTCTCCCATTTTACAGGAAAGCAAATAGTAACCAAGGTGAACTAGAACCCAAGATTTCTAATTCCTCATTCAGTGCTCTTTACAATAGACCCTACTATAAATAATACATATTATTTCTTATTGTCTTAGGAGATTTTAATACATTCGTATAATTAGTTGAAGAACATGATTCGGATAACTGGAAAAATAAACTTTCAAACAAAGCTAACAAAAGATGAAATGGTCAAGTAAGTCCTTCATAATTAATGAAAAAACTTAAATGAACATTTTATTTAATTGTTTCACATTCCTCCTTCTTTCCTTTCTTAAGAGTAACACTTCACTTACTCTTAAGTAAGTTCACTTAAACTCAAGGGCTTGAAAAATTGGCCAAAAATAATCTAGTTCAGTACACTGACATCTCAGAGTTTAATTCTTAACCAACCCTAGTGTAGGGAAAGTGGAAATCAAATTTTATGAGAGGGTAATGGCAAAGGCTGTGGAGGCAGATCACTTTGGATATAAATTCCAATAGGGCATTTACTGCACGTGTGAACTTGTACTAGATAATTAACCATTCTAATGCTCCATTTTCTCACCCATCAATTGAGTTATTAATACATTCCTTATAGAGTTGCTGTAAGGATTAAATGAGATAATACAAGAACGTCATTTTGCATCGTACCTGAGACACAATAATTAATAAATAATACCTTATGGTTATCAGGGGATAAGGGGGGGAGGGATAAATTGGGAGACTGGGACTGACATATACACACTACTATATATAAAACAGATAACTAATAAGAACCTGCTGCATAGTGCAGGGAACTCTACTCAATACTCTGTAATGGCCTATATGGAAAAAGAATCTTAAAAAAAAAAGACTGGATACATGTATACATATAACTGATTCACTTTGCTGTACACCTAAAACTAATACAACATTGTAAATCAACTATACTCCAATAATTCTTTTTTAAAAAAAATGATACTTATTATTAATGCTAAGTCTACATTACTAAATTGCTCATCTTTTATTTGTTAGAAAAAATACACATGGGGTGAGTATATGAGCAAATTTATATTAGTAAACTTGTCAAACACAGTTATGTAAATAACAGTTAAAGAACTGTATACATATGTTCACCAAAAGACAGAGAATGTTAATAGAAGCACTATTACATTAGCCAAAAATCTGAAACAATCCAAACCCTCATCAGCTGTGTGATGGAAAACTGATTGTACAGTCTAACCAAATGGAATGCTATTCAGGAGTGAGAATGAATAATCTGTCACCACATGTATCAGCATAGATGCATCCCACAAACCTAATTATGAACAAAAGAAGACAGGCATAGAAGAGAACATATGGTGTGATGACATTTATATACAGTTTAAAGCCAAAATTAATCTATGCTCTTAGAAGTAACGATTGTGATGATCCTGGGAGGGACACATAGTGACTGAAGTGTGGACTAGGGGGGTTTTTTTGTGATGCTAGTCATGTTCTGTTTCTTGATCAGGTTGATCTGGGTGTGAGTTACAAGGGTGTTACTAGTTTATAAAAAATAATTGAGTGATACATACTTTATAATATGTGCACCTTTCTGTAGTATACTATACTTCAATACAAAGTTGTAAAAAGAATTAATAAGTGATTTAAACATAGTGAAAGCAGCAGCTTATTTCAAGCCTGGGGCAAAGGAAAGACCCTATTGATTTCTGACTGCCACTTGCCATCATAAAAGTGGATGGATCTCTTATATCTTAAGGCTATAAGCTTCTTTATAGCTAAAATATGTAAGAACATGATCATGGCCTGGAGACAGAGATGGGATTTAGCAAAACAGCATTGGGTTGTGTTAAATTACTAAGAATGTTGGGAAGGGAATTTGGTACACATGTAAAGCATATCCTTGGTAATTAAGAGCCATGAAGTTAAGGTCTTCTGGGTTCTACCACAGAAAGAAAGTTAAAATTACATATTGCAGCCTTCACTTTACTTACATTTTTATTATAAGTATATTCCATATGGAATATGGAAGAATTTTCTATATTTCCTTGCTATATAAATCACATGATCCATTTCATACTGAATTATTAATTACAACTAAATACGAAAAATGCAATAATATAATTTTCTCTAGTTTTCTTTGGCACTTATTAAAGAAATAATTTAATTTCAAGTGGCTCCCATGGTATTATAGTCTCTAATAACAATCTAGTATTGTTGGCACAAAAGTTTTGGATTTCTGAGTTAATTCTAGATAATACAACACATTTTTTAGCAAAGTCTTCATTTATGGTAGAGAAGTGGCTCCAAGAAGATGTTAAGACACTTTAGCTAACTAAGTATTACATGTAAAATCAGTTTTTACTAACATAGTATATATACGCAACTATATACGCATATGCATACTCAACCAATTTATAGCCCTCAAAATAAAAATAATATTCAAGGGAAATCATTACATGTGCAAGACATTTCAGTGTCAGCGTGTTTCCTTCATTGATGTGAAGAATAAATTCTTCCCTTTCCGGAGAATCAAATCCCAGCTGCCATGTCACTTCACATTCCAATAGGGAGTATGGCTCAACAGTGCCTACAGAGAATTTAGAGAGAACAAGAAATTTACCACATTTTAACTATATTTATTTTTTAATATCCAAAATAAGAGATGGCATAAACATGTAATGACATTTTATAACAAATTATTTAAATTAAACAAAATACAGGGAATACCTTATGCTCCAACTTTAATAGGCAGATCAAAATATCTGACAAAAAGTATGCCAATATATAGCAAAAAAAATTTAAATTTATCAATGAAGCAACACTCTAGGATTAGAGATAACTTTACATCTAGACAGTAGAAAATCATCTGCGATCCCTGATCAAATGCCCCCTCCACATTTCTCAACACTCTGAAACACACCGGACACTCATTCAGTTTCTGGAGGAAGGAATTATCATTACCAGAGGCTTTTTTTTGTTTGTTTTAATGTTCAAATCCCTAGAGATATAACTTCTGATGTAGCTATTAGCAATTAGCACATTTCTATAATTCAAATGTATTTAGAACCCAGGAGGGTATAAGGCACATTTACTGTGAGCTGCTTTACCTGTTTAAATTCATCATCTCCTTTGGTCTAAGAAAATAATACTTGATGGAAAGAATGACTTAGAAGCTCTTCCCTCAGGAAGAGGGGATCATCTGAGATTCAAAGGCACAGGATACTGAACAGAGACATGCGTGACCATCACAACAAACTTTGCCTTGAGTCAGGCTGACTCACATGCAACAGTAGTTTTCTCAACCTTGAAAAAGGTATAGTGCCTACCTCCTAGTTTTGCAGTGGCCACGTAGGGAGATAACAACACACATAAAGGGATTAACATAGTGTGTAATGCCTAGAAAGCACCCAGTGTCAGATATTATTATTAATACTCTTGAATGCCAATACTATAGTTGGCACAATAATTTATAAAAAGAGGAGAAACTACTCGTGGAAGAGCTAACAGTCTAGTTGGGATCCATCAGAATTATATTTGTCTATAAGTAACAATAAGTCCTGTTACAGTGGGTTAGGTAGATACGAGTTTATTTATCTTATGCAATCAGAAGTCCATGGGCAGGTATTCCAGGGCTGCCTTAACAGGTTGACAATGCCTTGAAGGAGCAATGCTCCTAGCTTCCCACACTGCCATTCCTTATCACGTGGCCTTCCTCTGTGTGGAAAGGTATCAAAGCACAGTCGTTAAAAAGAGCACAAATTCTCCAGTCAGACTCCCTGGTTCAAATTTCAGCTCTGACACTTACTAGCTGAGACTTTGGACGATTTACTAAACCTATGTAACACAGATTCCTCATACATAAAGTGGGGATAACAACTGTTTCTTAGAGAATTGATAAAGGGAATAAATAAGCTAATATAAGCAGAAGTACTTCAAACAGTACCTGGCATATAGAAGGGGGATAAAGCTAAAAGAAATTTCTGTCCATATCTCATTGGCAAGAAAGGCTGGGGAAAAGAGATACGTAAATAAGAACACTGCTTCCCCAAACAAAATGAGGGTCCCATAAGGAAGGGGAATGGATATCAGATAATCTGGGCTTAGTAACATCTACCACAACAGGAGATGGACATAAACAAATAACTGTAGGTGATGTAACAAATACACAATGGGAGTGGAAAAGAGGTTGGGTGGGGAGTTCTAAATTAGCCCAAGAAAGTGGAGGAAACTTCATCATAAGGAGATGGCATTTGAGTTGTGACTGAAGAATGAGCAGGAACTCTGCAGGAGGACAAAGTCTGTGGGAAATGTAGAAGTCAAGTGATGGCACTAGAAGTGAGTGATGTGTAGAGAAGACTGTGATGGGAAGTAACTCTGACAAAGAAGAGTCAATGCTATTTATAAAGACACCTAAGCTTTCAGAGAAGAGTTGAGAGCAGCACAAGGATTATAGATCCATGTTGAGAGGGTTAGCTTGAGGTCAATAATTTCCCTTCAACCAGCATGGCTATATATTTTTCTCCAGGAATATTATGTATATCATGGGACAGGAGAAATAAGTTGGATGGCTGAATTGAGCATGGCTGGGATTGGCAGGGAAGGTACTACAAACGGCCAAGGAGTGACAGAATTGAGAAAGACAATGAGAGTGAACTGACTGAAGACAAGGCTGAGGACTGAGTGGACTCAAGAGTTCAGTATGGTTAAAGACAACAAGGATGAACACATAAAAAAACAAGCAGAAACATAAACAATATCTAATGAAAAAGTCATATGAGAAACCAATTCTACCTTAGAAAACATCAATCCACTCTTCCATTCTCCCCTTATAATATCCACTATCCAAATACAAATCCAAAATGTATCATGCCTCAGGAAAAAAGGACAATCACAACATAAAATTTAAATTATAACTCTTCACTTTAGTTTACAAAAAAATAGAGAGGGATATGATTAAATGCATTATGTAGGATGTAAAACCAATTCTAGGGGCACAAAAATTTGCCACCCCAAAATGTGTCTCTTTGGCATGAGGATTAATTTAAGCTGATTATTATTATTTTTTTTTTTTATTGCGGTACGCAGGCCTCTCACTGTTGTAGCCTCTCCCGCTGCGGAGCAACAGGCTCCAGACGCGCAGGCTCAACGGCCATGGCTCACGGGCCCAGCCGCTCCGCGGCATATGGGATCTTCCCGGACCGGGGCATGAACCCGTGTCCCCTGCATCGGCAGGCAGACTCTCAACAATTGCGCCACCAGGGAAGCCCTAAGCTGATTATTTTTAAGAAATAGAAGAAGACTCAGGAAGTTTTTTCTTGTTACCTCTTCCTTAACTGCCTAAAAGAATTTAGATAAAGGGCTAGTTCCCAGAATAGAGCTATCACCAGAGATACATGCAAAGAATATGGGCTGGCTATGATAGGGGAGACTCAGCTGGGCCTAGAGATCAAGTCTACTCTGTGTACCATGATCCAGGAAACATCTGTTTACCAAACATTTGCTTTTCCATCTGCATGTGAATTCCCTTTCTCACCTTTGAAGCCCCAATCCACTACCCCCAACATCCTCTTTTGTCTTTAGCTGAAGACGACATTTAAGGTGAGGATTTGGCCACTCTGGCAAGTTATGGGGTTTTCCTGGGTCTGTCTCACGGATACATGTTATTAAACTTTTGTGTGATTTTCTCCTGTTAATCTGTCCCATGTCAGTTTAATTCTTATACCAACTAGAAGAACCTAAGGGTAGAAGAAAACTTCTTCTTTTCCAACACGATATACAAAAGGGATGTAAGAAAAATAACTCAATAAAAAGATTTATACAGGAGACCTTCAAGATGGTGGAGGAGTAAGACGTGGAGATCACCTTCCTCCCCACAAATACATCAGAAACACATCTACATGTGGAACAACTCCTACAGAACACCTACTGAATGCTGGAAAAAGACCTCAGACCTCCCAAAAGTTATATATATTTTTTTCCGTTTTCTCTTTTTGGGAGTATGTATACATATGCTTAGTTGTGCAATTTTGTCCGTATAGCTTTGCTTTCACCATTTGTCCTAGGGGGCTGTCTGTCTGTGTTTTGTTGTTTTTTTCCTTACTATAGTTTTTAGAGCTTGTTATCATTGGTGGATTTTTTTATTGGTTTGGTTGCTCTCCTCTTTCTTCTTCCTTTAATGACTTTTTAATTTTCTTTTTTTTTTTTTTTTTTGCGGTACGCGGGCCTCTCACTGTTGTGGCCTCTCCTGTTGCAGAGCAACAGGCTCCAGACACGCAGGCTCAGCGGCCATGGCTCATGGGCCTAGCCACTCCGCGGCATGTGGGATCTTCCTGGACCGGGGCACGAACCCGTATCCCCTGCATCGGCAGGTGGACTCTCAACCAATGCGCCACCAGGGAAGCCCTGACTTTTTAATTTTTTAAAATATTTTCTTTTATTTTAATAACTTTATTTTATTTTATTCCTTCTTTCTTTCTTTCTTTCTTTCTCCTCCCTTTTCTTCTGAGCTGTGTGGCTGACAGGGTCTTGGTGTTCCGGCCGGGTGTCAGGCCTGTGCCTCTGAGGAGGGAGAGCCAAGTTCAGGACACTGGTTCATCAAAGACCTCCCAGCTCCACAAAATATCAAATGGCTAAAGCTCTCCCAGAGATCTCCATCTCAAGGCTAAGACCCAGCTCCACTCAACAAACAGCAAGCTACAGTGCTGGACACCCTATGGCAAACAACTAGCAAGACAGGAACAAAACCACACCCAATACCAGAGAAGCTGCTTAAAATCATAATAAGGTCAGAGACACCCCAAAACACACCACCAGATGTGGTCCTACCCACCACAAAGGCAAGATCCAGCCTCATCCACCAGAACGTAGGCACCAGTCCCCTCCAGCAGTAAGCCTACACAACCTACTGACTCAACCTTAGCCACTGGGGGCAAACACCAAAAACAATGGGAACGAAGAACCTGCAGCCCGTGAAAAGGAGACGCCAAACACAGTAAGTTAAGCAAAATGAGGAGACAGAGAAACACACAGCAGATGAAGGAGCAAGGTAAAAACTCAACAGACTAAACAAATGAAGAGAAAATAGGCAGTCTACCTGAAAAAGAATTTACAGTAATGATAGTAAAGATGATCCACAATATTGGAAATAGAATGGAGAAAATACAAGAAACGTTTAACAAGGATCTACAAGAACTAAAGAGCAAATAACAATGATGAACAACATAATAAACAAAATTTAAATTCTCTAGAAGGAATCAAGAGCAGAATAACTGAGACAGAACAGATAAGTGACCTGGAAGATAAAATAGTGGAAATAACTACTGCAGAGCAGAATAAAGAAAAAAGAATGAAAAGAACTGAGGACCGTCTCACAGACCTCTGGGACAACATTAAACGCACCAACATTCGAATTACAGGGGTTCCAGAAGAAGAAGAGAAAAAGAAAGGGACTGAGAAAATATTTGAAGAGATTATAGTTGAAAACTTCCCTAATATGGGAAAAGAAATAGTTAATCAAGTCCAGGAAGCACAGAGAATCCCATACAGGGTAAATCCAAGGAGAAATACACCAAGACATATATTAATCAA